TATCCATGATGATAAAGTCAAAAAGTAAAGTAACGGCCTATATTTCTCACTGCTGGTCAAAAGCCCCCTCAGTATAAAGGGTATCAGGGTATAGCCGCGCGGCCCAACTGCGAATTTTTTTTTTTAAACATATCGATAATCTTTATTGATCTAATATTTACAAGATTAAATCTATCTAAAATTACATATTATCTAATAAACCTAATCCACGCGGCCCGCTAGCTGCATTTCCTCGCTGAATAGTTATGCTTAACCTTTGCGCGAGAAAAGAACCAGCTCTCTTGTCACCAGCCGCGGCGTTAAGCCTAGGACATAAACTTTTAAAAAAATTTGATGTGCGAATTGGGGGAATACACATATCTTCAAAATATTCTTTTTCCTATTATTTAGAAAATATACAGGTCATCCTCACGATGTTTCCTTCACGGCTGAGCACTTGATAAGTCAGCACTTAAAATTGTCAATTTTATTGCTGCCGATACCAAGGAAAGGGGATCGAACTCAGATTGCTCGAGTATATTGAATTAAAAGCAAGTGCCCGCACACTGAGCTATGACGGCCATGATGATAATGTTTGCATAGAAAAACGCACACTTCGTACAGTGATATGACAAGTTGACGAGTTTTCGACCAGAGAATTGGGTCGATCGTTTCACGAATGTCGCAACAACGGATTCGTAATGCGATGCGGAAACTTTCATAATGCCCCCACAAATTTGTCGCGTCATGAAAGCAATGCGCTGTGTGGGAACTGTTACAGTGCCATAAAACCGGCGATTTAACGTGCTCGTCCTGCTTTAAAATATCATAAACAGTTCTAAACACCGAGCGGCGAGACGTATAATTCTTAGAAAACGTAGTAAAATTAATTGGATGTAAAACAATTCCATAATGTTTACGCTGAGGAGAAGACGTGCCGATAAACGCAGGTTAGGACACCTCTGGGCCAGGTGAAGTGACGATCTTCGTAGTTCTGTTGGTAGTAACTGCATTCTGGAAGGCACTCATCCAACAATAGACTACCTCAGGCTTATGATTGTGGTAACGACTTTTATAGGAAACCATAAGATTTTTATCAATGGGATAAAATCAAAGGCTCGGACACCTATCATTTCATCTTCTCTTTCCGTTGAGATTCGATAAGAATACAAAAAAAGCCGTTTCCTGGTGCGTAAGCGAATGGTTCGGGTTTTTTTTTTATATTGCTCTGACGCATATTATACTTTTATTATTACCTCAAATTTACGTCATGATATTTCTGTAGCTCTCTCGTCATCACATTTGGGTTTTTACAAAGTAACCATTTTATACTGCATACTAAATGCGTACTTAAATAACAATTTGTTTTTAACATAATCACTTTTCCTATTAATCCATTTATAGAACAGAGTTACATTGATATACTATATTAGCTGTACTAGTTGCCTATTCCTATACTAGCTGCTGCCCGCGACTACGTCTGCCTAGAATAGGCTGTAGGCGTAACATTAAGACAGATATACATTTTTTTTTATGCGAAAAGTTGTCAAAGGAGCAGACGAGTCACCTGATGTTAAGTGAATACCGCCGCCCGTGGACTTCTGCCACACCCGAGGGTTACAGATGCGTTGACAACCTTTTGAAAATTGGGCTCCGGCTACCTCACTCACCAGACGAAACGCGAAAGTATTTGTCATACTTCCACTTGACGCTGGTCTTCTGTAAGGTTATGGTACTTATCCGGACGGGCCTGCCCATTCGTGCAACAGCTGAGGCTGCTGCGTGGCCCTACCACCGTAAAATATGTAGAATTAAAAAAATATGTAGAAGTACATAAAATATGTATATAAATTATAGCCTATGTCTTATTCTGATGAATAAGCTATATTATTGTAGTTTCATTAAAATCCATTCAGTAGTTGCGTGAAAGAGTAACAAACATCCATCCATACATACAAACTTTCGCCTTTATAATATTAGTAAGGATAAGTAAGGATTAAAAACTACAATTTATTTTTAAACTACTACTTTTACTCAAAAAGATAACGGCGGTAATATTAGACCTTACATAAGATGAAATAAATGAATAAATTATTGTGCAGAAAACCACGTATTGCATTCCTCTTTATCTGGTTAAATTTAAAAACACCAATACTTGCTAAAAATAATTTAGTAAATAAAATTTCCATATCTTTTATTCTTACGCCTTATCGTTTGGGGCTTAGACGCGTTTAAATTTATCCAACTTTTACTTATATATGCTGTCTTAAAGTCCTTTCGAGCTTGCTTACCTAATAAATGAACGCCCCCTATATACTACAGAGTTAATTCATCAAATGACGTCGACTTAATCATTACAAACAGAGATGGACTAGTCCATGGACACGTTATGAAGATTGAAATTTATTGTGGCGTCCGCCCTCTTGATAAAAGAATAAATTAGTTAAATACAAATGAACAATTGTGAAGTCAAAATTAGACTTCATTAAAAAAAAACCATAATCACCATCATAATAATCAGTTATACCTTGCCGCATTGTCATTGTTATTGTTAAAACAGAAGAGGGATTATACTTAATTTATTACCTTACTAATGTCCCGCCCCGGCTATGCACAGGGTTATGGTATTTATATATAAGACGGGTTTAATATATTATATAAATATAAACCTTCCTCTTGAATCACTCTATCTAGTAAAAAAACCGCATCAAGATCCGTTGCGTTGTTTTAAAGATCTAAGCATACATAGGCAGAGACAGACAGCGGGACGACTTCGTTTTATACTATGTAGTGAAGATACCAATTACCTTGTTTAGCTATGGCTAGGGCGGCCCGGGCTTACAGACACACGGGTTAACACGGGGTAGCAAATAGCTGCACATTTTTTTTAATCCTACGGGGTTATATAAAATATTACTACGTGTAATGTTCGAGACATCCTTCCTTTTTCATTTTATCGTATGTGTAACATCCGATATTTATTTTAAATACTGATCGCTTTGATGTTTCGCATCTGCAATAATAAACATTTTATTCGGTGGTGTGAAACTATAGCATGTAGGTGTTAGGAAATTTTAAAGCTTTACAATTTTGAATACTTGATTTTTATATTTTCAGAATGTGTTTTCAGTCTGAACTCGTATAAGTAATATTCAAGCCCGTTCTCGGATATTTTCAGGGAGAGCTTAAAGACGAAGCATTAAAACGTATGTTATACAATGAATCATCTTTAGTCCTCAAGATATTATATAGATTATCATAAAAAAGTAAGTGTTTTTTGTGAAAAGTTGTGAAACGAGCAGATGAATCGGATGAAACTCGAATTCTGTTAATTTAATTAATACGTAGTATTTATGAAACGATGGAACTTGACTATTTCAATATGATATTAAAACACATTTTGTATATAAAAATCGCGTTTATTTCATTTGACATTTATAGCAGCATCTTCTTTCTTAAATACAGTACAACAATCAAACTTAATAATTCAACAATACGTAACAGAAACACACAACGCATTTGAAATCAACTATGCAAAATTAAACAATAGCTTGTAGATATTTTCAATGAAAGTTGAATGGAAGATAATTAACGTTTTAGCAATAACATATGTCTTTAAACCGTACGAGAAATGGAAATTATTTGTTCTGCATCACTCGCAGTTAGCACCGCAGCGTACATTTTGAAATGAAATGCGTCAGTTTTTCGCCGAACATATAGCTCTTTGATGTATGTACATCCTTTTATGTTACTTGTCGAATACATGTATAACATTATTGTCATTTTACTTTTATTATACTTGGTTTTTTCCAGGTACTGTGCAATTAAATGAATGTGTAAGCAGATGTGAAATATATTTTGTCCCTGTCCCATGCTACGCTCGCCGTAATGTATCGCGAAATATTTCGAGTGACATTAATTCAAATTTAACACGAAAACGGAAATAACGAGTGTTATTCAGGAACAAGAATAAATACATCGCAAGAAGCCCTTTGTGTAGAAACACGTGTCACTTCTTTTTCTGCAATTGGCACGCAACCTGACTCGCATACCACGGATGAGTCCATACGCTCTGAAAACTTTGGCATTCTTACTCGTTTAGGTACAAACGTCCAAAATTAGAAGCTACTCCAATACACGCGAACTCACGCTCGTTTCGGGTTGGTGATACAGTTTGTTATACATAACCTGATATTACGGGTTTGTGATATATTTTGTATATACATAAATTGAGACGAAACACATTAACCTGGAAGCAAATGGACACCTGTCCCTTTTAATTTGACGTTCCCTTTGTTTTTTTTAATTTGACCTTTAAATTTAATTTGATGACGTTGACATCTCTAAATTTGTAACAATAACAGTGTAGAAAATATTTACGTTTGCAATGATGCACGGACTATTGTTAAGACACCTACATGCAATGAGATCAATAAAATATTTATCGAATAATTAGAACATAGTAATTTAACTATACAACAGACAACTTATTAACTTATTGTTTTAAATCAAAATATCTCGTTTAATAATATGTAAATGTTGAAGCTTGGATTGAAAAATTAATTGAGACGACTGTATAAATCTTTTTAAGCAAATTGAAATCGAAAATAGTAGTAGTAAATTGTCAGAAGCACGTGTGATTGACAAGCGCCTCAGATGTTTTAGGTAGCTGCTGTCAAAACGTCCGTAGAAAGATAAACGAATCTTCAGTCATATTATCTCTTTTAAAGATTTTCGGCTGTATTCGTGTAACAGGCGAATATAACTGAACAGTTACTACAAGCCGAGTTCCGAATTCTCGTTACAATTGAATTTGTTTTGTTACACACATTGCAATATTAATCCGTTAACGCGAAACGGCAGCATAAAAGTTTTATTTTTTAATTGAAACGTTTTTATTTGCCTAGCTTAAAAATAAATATTGCATCGGATGATGGAGCGTGCATACTGGTCGGTTTATGCACAGTGGCTTGTTCGCGACATAACTATACGATATGCAGTCGTGACGATTGGTGTCATTAAACCGATGATTCGTAGATGACGATTTGCACGATCGGCGGCTTCTGGGGGCTCTGGATTGGAGTGGTTATGTCCCTGATGACAGCTTCCACCGCCGCCTCCCACTCCAGCTGTCTCTTGTCGCCTAATGCGTCCTTCCCACTGCTAAACCTAGGCATTGTCACCTACAACAAACATACAATCACTCGCAAAGCACTCTATATACAAAAACATAAAGAAATAAAAATATTTAAAGTTTTTTTTTTCTCTATTTTCTAATATATCTCTTTATATAAAGTCAATGTGGTTGTCCTGATATACAGGTTAATTTTTAATGAATAATTTTAATATCAAGTCGTTAAGTTAAGAAAAATACAAAATTTATATTTTGGTAAAAGAAATATTACAATAAAGTATAACTTAAAGAACTATTTTATACGGTACGTCATAAAAATTAAATTAAAATAAAAAAAATGAAAGCCGTGTTAAAAATAAACACAAGTGAAACTACGTTGAATTAAGTTTGCCAGTACATAAATTATTTGCACAAGCTTTACAGGAACGTAAGTATCGTAAATATTCTTGATTGATGTATAATGTTGTGAAGTGTTTGCATTTCGTGAGCTAATTGTAAAATATAGACTAAAATTGCTTATGAATGAGGTTTATCACCGCAACATAAACATGTCGGGATAAGCGAATTCTTATAATAAAGCTTAAGCGTAAACAAGCTTACTCTCTAGTTTACTTTTTCACATATTGAATATAAATATGCGTATAATATAACGTTTAGTAATAAAATACAAAACTTAAGTAATAAAATGCTTTATTATTTATTCGGGATAAGTACACAATAATAATTATTACATTATTGTAACACCAAAATCATTGTTTAGGTCGTTCAAGTTGATCTTGCGAATGTTTACAAAATTGAGATATATGATATATGCATCAATAAATAGTATCTGTACGAGTACTTCAAATGTTATCAGACCCGTATCTTAGTTTTCTCTAACTACATGGAAAAATAAAATAAAACTTAGGAAAGATAATATTATATAAAGAAAAAAAAACTTGAAAACTAACAAACACTTATTGGAAATGCGATTGTAGCCTCACACTATTTCTTTATGCAAAAAACAAGTTAGAGATTTGACTTGTTTTGTAAGTACTTGAAAGTAGTTCTTAGCTGGGCTACACTGCGCTGTCTATCTGCAAAGTCCGAATACTAGGCTAGCTAGTTGTTTATACTATGTACTTACCTATCGACCTTATGAAATAAAGGGAAACCTATTTATTAACGCGAATATTGATCGCAACAGTCTTCGCTGTTGCACGAATGGGCAGGTCCGTCCGGGGAAGTACCATGACCTCACAGGAGACCTGAGTGAAGTGAAAGTGTTATAATTCTGCGTGACGTCTGGTGGGTGAGGTAGCCGGGGCCCATTTTAGTAAAAGGTGGCGACGTACGTGCTACTCTACGCGTGTGGCAAATGTCAATAGATGGTGGTTATCACTTAACAACAGGTGAACCGCCTGCATATATAGCTATGTAACAATAATCATTCCCAATACCTACAACATTGACATGTCCGTCGTGATCCCGTCGAAGGTCACCGTAACTCTGACGCACTCTCATAACAGTCATGTTTTACAGCCACCGTTTCGGGAACTTATAAAAATACGCAAACGTTCTACTCAGTCTGTGGGCTATCGATTGCGTTCGATTCATTCTCCCACCGTAAGCGGACGTGAACAAAATTCTCTGAGTTTATTTCTTGCTCTATGTACAGTGCAAGAGAGACTGATGCCCGGTTTCTGAAATACTGATCAACGTAGAAGTTAACTAATCAGCTGTGAAATCAGCTTTTCAAATGCCATTTAAGTCACCAAAAGGAAGATTAAACTCCTAATCAAACATTTTAATTTCGTTCGTTTGGTCAAATTTGGTTATTTTTTAATCATATGAATACGAAACATACATTGTTTCTTAATTGGATGTATATTAAGCTGTAATAATAATACATGTTTCATATTATATTGTTTTTAACAAAACAAATAGTGACAGACCTAATAAATAAATAATCATACTTAAGTATCAAGACGTTCGTGTGCTTAACTAAACTTTATATGAAAATTTAGTTATTTAGTTTAGTATTTTAAAAATTCAATTTCTTTTGATTTTCTTTTAATTTTCCGACGTTCAAGTGTAACGACATCCAGAAATATTCAACATTCTTGATTTCAAATTGATGATGAGAATAAATATTATGTTCTGTAGAATTCTTGGTTACAAACATAATACAAGATAATATTAGAGATGCAATGTTACATACAATTTTGGTTTTCAAACGCTAATTTTGACTTTTTTTATACTGAAATTTTTAAACGTAACCATAATTAATGGCCGTAGGTTAAACATTTATTATTTTGAACCAAGTTTAGAATTCTATAAAGCAACATTAATTATTTTACCGAATTCAGATTTGAAAATAATTATCAAAATGGCTACATTTATAATTATTTTTTTTGTCTTACTTTCTTTTCAGCCTGTAAAAACTAAAGAAAAAAGTTATAAAAGATAAATTGTTTAACTGACTAAGCATATATTACCACATAAATATAATTAATTATAATTAATTTTAAAAATTAAAAGTTGTTGACAGAATATAAAATAATAAATGTTTCCTTTTCAAATAAGAAAAAAATATATATAACCAGGACAAAATAGTTGAACGTTATGCAAAGTAAATGTTATTTTTAGCTATCTATTCCCTTTTTAATTGCAGAAGCCCAAGCTTCTAAGAATAGCACTTTACGATGGCAACAAAAAATTCCTTAGCCTGGATACAGACATACCCTGGTTCCTAAGTGCGTCTTGTTACTGCTATCTTTCTGAAATGTGTACAACATGGGAGCTTAGTTAAAATCCTACTTGCTTATAATTACTAAATCTTATTAATTAGGAATGCTGATGAAGTGGACATAGTTTTCGACAAAACTTTGTCAGCGATACAATTGTTTTTATTGGTTTTATGCATAAGGAAAAATCTTAAAAACAAAAGCTTTTATCGACAGTATCGGGTTCTGCAACTGTTACTGATTGTTAGATATAAAACATGTTTATTAATAATTATAAAAATAATTAGTATTATACATATAATGGCTCCTATGGTTATGACGATAACTGTCAGAAGTAATGAATTATAATTAAAAAAATTAACAAGAGATAATATTGAAGACATATGAGTATTAATAATGATAAAAGTACATTTCACTTTTGCGTAAACGTAAAAACAAGTTCGCATCAGTTTCGCTGTGTGTCTTTAATGTTTCAGTTGCGGTAGTAGTAATTTAGTCTTGAGTCAAAAACCCGCAACCGATACCGCAATGAAGTAAAATAACCTCAAATCGTTTGAACGAAATATATAATATGTTTACACTGCCGATGAATTAGAGACGAATGTTTTATTAAACGAACGGCTGATCCGTAGACAGGGAATTACGGTAAAAACTAAGACTTGCATTAAATGTTACATGTAAGTTATGATAAAAAGTTCGATTACGCAAACTCTTCTATAACACGCCACGTGGCTGATACATGTAAATTGAATTCCTACACCGCGGTCAGCAACTCCACTGTTAGTTATTCCTATTGCGTTCAATGGAAATCGAGCTTTAGATATAAAAAGAACGGTTGTTTTATTTCAAACATAATAGAGCCGTTCTGAGCGGTTTATGGGGTACTAAAACTAAAAGGGTGGCTATTGCGACAACGGAACACTCGACGACCTCGATCCTTACTTACTTAAACAACAAACTAAACAATTAAGCGCTATCGCTACGAGACAGATTGATTTAATTAGAAGGAAATAGTCCAACGGATAACACGATATACAATACGTATAATTCGTTCAGGCGAAAAGGTGTTTTAACTTCTGACTTTGATACAATACTTGCTAGAATAAATATGACGATTTGTTACTATGCCTGTATACAGTACCTCCCACACAACAAGGCAGTATGTAGGATTAGCCATATTACGGTTATTGAATGACCACTACAATAGCGTTGAATATTATTTTCGCTAATATTATATTTTTACGCCAAATAAAAATATGTGGATATAAACTTTATTTATGTTATAAGAAATTACATGTAAAATCAACGCACTGAATGGTGTAAAATATACAAATATACAATTACACATTGATTTAAAATGAACTTCTATCAATTTCTTTTACAAGCAAGCCCCGATTTACTGTTCGTGGAAACATTTCGATCAATCACTGCGTGCAAGGCCGCCGGCGTGTATTTCACGAAACACAATATTAGTACATTATTCACGTCGTGGCGAATGAAAATCTTCGCATTTACTTTTTACAAGCGCAACGAATAAACCGTGTACATCTCGACGTTTTTATTCGTCCGCGATCTGGCGCCGAGTCTATCTGTCAATAGGATCGATTGTTCGGCGGTGCGTGACGTTTCAACCGCAAAACGACAGGCCAGACTGGTCAAACTACTCCTTAACAAACGCAAAAACGTATAAAACAACACAATACAAGAAAATTATGTTGAAACATTACGTAACACTGCGACACTGGGAAAAAAGAACAATTAATCTTTTTCGAAGCGTCAATTAAGCTACTTTTACACAGATCCATTATTAACCGCCGCTTTCATGTCTTACACAGGGCGTGACATTCACAATTACACATTTAATGTACTCACAATCGTAAGGACCTTCCGCAGATCGTTATGCAGAGCGGACACGTCGACTCCCCTGCCGGCGTCGCCCAGTCTCCTAAGCGTGTCTGCCAAGGGGCCGGACAGGGCGCGCAGCTGCTGCCAAGACCTGGCGTATTGCCTCCGCACTAGCTCGATAATGGTCGACGTCAACGCCAAACCAATCAGAATGTACAGCGTGCACAGCAACATGTATTTAGGTCTCTCTGAAACGAGCAAATCGATCGAATAACCGCCACAAAAGTTTTTCCTCCTACTCAAACTCAGTTTAATTTCCTTTTTTAGTTATTAAAAACTTTATTTTTTCAATGTTTTTCACTTTTTGTTTTCTTTTTATTTTTTTATTAATTTTCTTTTGTATATACAAAAAACATTGCAATAATGTCAGTTTCCGCGTAATTAAAAACAACCCGATTTCTCTTTTTCTGTAATTACCGTTTTTTCTTGAGTCTCACTTAGGTTTTCGTGCTTATCTATTTAATAACATAGTTACAGCTTAAGGAAAATCGGGATATTGCAAATTTGAAATCGCCATTTCGACTAACAATTACGCTTTATTGGAAAACAAGGCGACAACTTACTAGGAACGAGATCACCGAAACCGATGGTGGTCATTGTGATGAAGCAAAAGTAGAAACCATCGTAAAAGGTCCAATCGTCCTCCCACATCTTGAATAGCGCCGCCCCGGCGGATAAGTAGACGAATAGAAAACACACTGCCCACAAAGCGTACAGGGAGCGTTGGCTAGCAGGGTTCACTTCTGCGACGCGACTGCAGCATTCTGCATCAAGACGATCGCATTTAGTTTCATTTCTTTACATAGTATAAAACAAAGTCGCTCCTGATGTTTGTACGCTTAGATCTCTTAAACTAAACAACGGATTCATCAGCAATAGATAGAGTAATTCAAGCGAAAGGTTTATATGTAGCATACGTGCATATTAAAGTAGAGAAAATCTCTCAATATCTACATTACACCCGTGCGAAGCCGGCGCGGGTCGCTAGTTTTGATATAAATTCGACATCCAGTCCGTTTCATTGAACTAGTGATATATCACTGCAGTGAAAACTATTGCGTGGCCGTGCGTGGGACGGGTCATATGTAAACTGAACTATACTTACTTGGCATTGCAGGCAACTGTTTTGCGATTATAGAGACAACTGTCGCGAATACCCTCCCCAAGTCTGCAATAACTGTCAGCGTTAACGGTATCCCAACAAGAGCGTATGCTATACAAAACAGTCTGCCCCAAAACGTTTCAGGAACTATATTTCCATATCCTGGAAACATACATATGATCAACTTATCTATTTAGACTACGGACTTTGGTAAAATTGGCACCTGATCAGAATTTGTCTAAGCAGAATTGATATGACTAGTTGGAAATGTTGGATCATGCATGTCCATTCACTAGTTTGTACATCCCTAACTCCAACATTGTAAACACGTTAGCTATAAAAAGTTACTTTAACGTTCGTGCCTATAACCTTTTAGAGGTAGGCAAAAGTTGCGATAATTTTTTTTTGTGAATTGGTGGAAAGCGAGCTGGCCGATGCACCTGATGTTAGGTGATAACTGCCTCCCATGGGTGTTGGTACCTTTTAAAACCTGACCTGACTGAATTGAACCACTACTTCCAGTTCACGCCGGTCTTCTATGAAACCGTACTTGAACATTCGTGCAACAGCAAATACTGCTATGTGGCCGAACCACATTTAACATTAATTTACTTTCATAGAGAGTAGTAACCTCGTAATTCATACGTCAGTTGCCGTATACGCTCTTTTTACGCTCCTCGATACTTTATATCATGCTCCCCTCCCCCTCAGAATATCGGCAATATGGTCGATACGCGCTCGTGTAGGGTGTGTATGAACTTTTACACTGACTTTCTGTTAGTTTTTTTTTTTTCGAAATAGCTGTACTAGTAAATATTTAAGCTAAATTCGTAGTAGCCACACATCCACATAATTAAGCTTTCGTAAATATTTGCTCGATAACCTCATCAATTTTAAATTTACTAATAAAAATATGTATAAGCCATTTTGAATGTTTTTATGACTGAAAATCACTTTAAAAACTCTCAAGTTTAGTGGCACTTTACTTTAAAAGTCATATTGATATGCTTACATGTCTCTACACACCTATAGTGGTGAGCACCGTTGAAGAGAAGAAAACGGCTTGCAATATACTCCACCTCTCTTCTGATGGTGGAAAATTTCGCTCTACTTCTAAAGCCAAGCCACCGGAAGACGCTTCTTCAAGTATCTACAAGTGAATAGTTCATTAAAACTTTTTTCTTCTTTCATTGTAACTAAAAATATTACTAGTTTTATTTAAATACAACAATATCTCCATAAGCCATAGTGTTGAATGATAGATACTTTATCTTAATACTAGCGGACCGGATAGACGTTGTCCTGTACATACGACTTAAATTCGACAACTTAGAAATTAAAAAAAAATGTAGTGGACCGGATTGTGAATCTAAACCATTCTCGTATCGACCTGAAGACGCACAAAAAAATTTATTAAAATCGGTCCAGCCGTTTAGGAGAAGTTCAATGACATACATTGCAGAAGAAATATATATATATATATATATATATATATATATATATATATATATATATATATATATATATATATATATATATATATATAAAGATAAAAAAAACATAAAAGATTGCAGTGAATAAGCCACGGGGAAGTAGAAAATTATATCGCCAGAACATTTATACTTTATTACATGTTGGAAAGAAAAAAAAATTTATTTGTTTTCGTAATGCCTTAAAGTATTTCTCACCTTTTCGTAAATTGCTAATTGGTCACTGATTAATTTTTCCATGCTAACGTATTCCGTTCCATTCATACCGTAATCGGCTACAATCCGTATAAGATTCCAGCGTTCCGAAAGAAGGCGATCCCTGTGATACTCCTGCTTGGCTATTTCTGCGGGAAATTCCAACGCCCGGAACACCTGCGTTAATATAACAGTATAATTCCCTTAATCGTGCGTATTTAGCAACGTAATTTCATTTCATTAAAACAATTATTACCTTTTTAAATGATAAAAAAACTTATGACTAAATATTAATACACATAATGCAAAAAATTTAAAATCATTTCAAGAATGCCATAACTTTTCTCCCGGGATTGGCTGGCAGAGAATGCCAAAAGGCAATAAGTTCGCCCTTCTTAATTCTTGTTAAGTGGTAATTGCAATAAAGTATAAATAAATAAATAACTTAATAAATCTTTATTCATTTACATTTATTACTATGAAATAAACCTTTTGGGAAAATCCACTAAAAGTTTTCAAATTCTTTTTCGAATAAACACACTGGCGTTTTTTTTAGTTTAATAGAGGCTGTTTCAAGATCTATCGCTGATTCACCGAATCCTTTACAAATTGGTATGTACGGCGGTGTTACTTTTTGATGTAAAATCAAGAGCCAGTCCGTTTCACTGAACCAAAGGTGATGTTTTATATCATAAACACCTGCTTTTAATGAACCAAACCGTTTCATCGGATCGACGACCAATAGATTCTTTACAAGAGCTTTGCAATTCGGCGTCATGCAATCGGGAGTTTTGAAACGAGCTTCGAGGATTTTCTCGTAAAGACCTATTGTCTGGGAGCTGAAAAACGGTGGATGGCCAGCAATCATTTCGTATATAAAAATACCAAAGGACCACCAGTCAACTGGGAAAGAGTAGCCTTTTGATAAAATTATCTCTGGAGCTAGATACTCCGGTGTTCCACACAACGTCCACGTGCGATTTTTTATCACCTTGCAGAAACCGAAATCGCCAAGCTTTATATAACCGGATTTAGATAGGAAAATGTTTTCTGGCTTAAGATCCCTGTGTATGACAGAGCAATGGTGTAGATATTCCAGAGCGAGAGCTATTTGAGCCGCGTAGAACTGCGCGAGGGGCTCGGACAAAACGCCCAACTTCTTTATTATCGTGAACAATTCGCCACCTGCCTCGTACGGCAGTATCAGGTAAACGTAAACATTGTCTTTGCTGCAGAACTGTAAAGATATCAAAAACGCAAATTTCACACATTGCAATATTCTCTTCTCGCGATATACCTGCTTGACGGTGTTGTTTTTGACGATTTCAGCCTTTTCAAGCACTTTCATTGCGTAATATGTGAAACTACTCTTTTCGCGAACAAGAAACACCGTTCCGTAGGCACCTACACCCAAAGTGTTAATGTTATCGAAGTCATCGATTGATTTCTCACACGGTGTAGGATTTTCGTAGATCCTATTAAATTCTTGCTTCAAAAAATCGAGATAGTTCTTGTGGTTAGCGTGCAGGGAAGTTGTGTAAACGAAATTACTTTCGTCTTTTTTACGACTTGGAACTGTCATCTTGTCATGACTGTTGCTGTTTTGACACATCGCAACATTTCTAATTTGAAGTCAAACTAAACAAGTATACCACGTGGATTTACCATTTCAATCGTTCAGTACTTAATATTATTTACATAACAAAGTAATATTTTAATAATTTTCTGTTTTATGTGAATCTATCCAGTTCTAGTATCAATACATTATTATTTACGTTATTACGTATTACTTAGACACAAATGATGTCAATAATTACAAAGTAAATGGGGAGCAGACTAAAGTATTTCAATATGCTAGGACAGATCATAATGTCAAGGCTCTTATGCTTATACGTATGTATGTATAGCGAAATTTACGAGCTCTACAAAACTTTGTGCCATTTTTTAACGCAGAATCCGCTGCGAGAGATCCAACTGGCAAAGACTTAATAATTTACCTACGTCCCTTTTTAATTATGTTGGGAAATTTGTAACGTCCGTTTAATAATTCACTATTACTTCCAATAGTGATACTTTCTTATAGAAAAAAAAGAAATGGAATGATTATTAAATTCCAGCAACTTTTAGTTAGGCCAAAACGATTATGTAGGTTATGGTTCAATTCAATTCAAACAATCATGTATTACTGTTCGCATTACTCGTATGTTAAGTGAGAAAAGAATTTTATGGGTGACTGATTAGATGACTCCGTGGCGCAGATGCCAAAGGTATTGGCTTCGGCGTCGGGGATCTTGACCCCCGAAGCCAATGTTTGAAATGTTTGAAACATTGCCCTTGCCGAAGGGCAATGTTTGAAAAAAAAAAAAAAAAAAAAAAATAATACTTAAAACTCAACTACTCATTAACAAAAAAAACTAAAATTCTGGTGTAGGTACTCTATTTTGTTTTAAATAAATGAAACAATATTCGCTTAATTTATTACAGTTTTTATGTGACAAATTATTAAGTGTGGCCTAATATAACAAAACTAAATAACGAAAATAAAACTTACTAACAAAATAATATTAAAATATAAATTAAATAACGAGAACTCGAGATTATTTTTATCCGGTCAAAGTAAAGGAATATTTGTTCCTTAGAATTTAAAAATCTGTAAAAATTGTTTCATGTAGGCAACTGGAATTTCTCTTTAGTATGTGCAAAGATATGTTTGAAATCTGGTTGGTATCCCATTCCCGTGGATTTGGCACGAACGGTGGCTCTAAATTTTGGTGCAATAGGGAATGCCAACAGATATCATTGAACCAGGGTTGAGATTTTACATCGTATGTGCCGTTTTTTAACGAACCAATCCGCTGCGAGGGATCCAACTGCAATAGACTCTTAATAATCTGCCTACATTCCTTATTAATAACGTTGGGACATTTGTAACGACCGTCTAATATTTTTTCGTATAGCCTATCCGGTTTTGAATCGTAAAATGGTGGGTGTCCAACAATCATTTCATATATCAGCACCCCAAGAGCCCACCAGTCCACTGGAAATGAATAGCCTCTTGACATAATCACTTCAGGTGCTAAATATTCAGGCGTACCGCAAAGGGTATAAGTCTTTCGATCCACAACTTTCGATATGCCGAAATCACATAGTTTCAAGTAGCCATTTTCATCTATGAGAATATTTTCTGGCTTTATGTCCCTGTGAATGACATTACAGTGATGTAAATATTCCAGTGCTAATGTCACTTGAGCCGCGTAAAACTTTGCAAGTTCGTCTGAGAATCTACCAACTCTTTGTAAATTCTCAAATAGTTCTCCACCGGCCATGACAGGGAAGATGAAGTAAAGGTAAACGTTATCTTTAAAAGCTCCTTCTAAATTAATAACAAACGGAAACTTGAAAGACTGCAAAAGTTTCTTTTCTAATATAAGGTGTTTCTCATTTCTGCGTTCAACTGCAAAACTTTTCTCTACAGCCTTCATAGCATAATAATTCAACGAATTTTTATCTCTTACTAAAAAAACTTTGCCAAATGCACCACTTCCTATTGTATCTATAAGGTCATAATCCTTGGGTGACCCGTTGAGGCTTGGAGTGTTGTTCAAGGTGTTTTCAAATTCTTCTCTATGCTTATCCAAAATAAATAAGTAATCAATATGGTTTTGTTTCGTGTAGCTGGGTTTTGCCATTAATTACCTTGAACATATATTCTCGATTCATTTCAATATAAAGCATCAATAAACACATAAACAAACGTAATCATATTAACTAACTAGCGAAACCTGTACATTGTCATTTTGACGTAATAGTATTTATATTTTAAAAATACAGATAATATAATTTAATTATTAACGCTTATAACGAACGCCCTCACCATACACAATCGCCCTCACCATATCTATACTTTCTGGTGAAAATCTACTACTTACTACTGTCTTTACACAAAGCACACAAAGAAATTGCCTACGATGCTCTTAATTTAGCTAATTTGTTATTATGAGAGTAATAATGTAAACGAAATGGAGTACATTATTCCGAATTTCGAATTCTTACAACTTCAATTTATTTATTTTTTGAAAAATATAATATTACTCACCAATATGAACGACGTAAACAAATATACCATACAAAAACGGTTTTATGCTGACTATTCTGTTCGGAATTTCCTGAGTAGTTTTTTTATTGCGTGACATTCTGTATCAATCTATATGAAACGTCAAACAATACTCTGCCTACATTTCGTTTTCAGTCACTTCTAATTCGTTAAATACTGTATATTCTTTTAAGCATATTATTTTGAAAATAGCTTATTCGATGGCTGAGGATGCAAATAGAATTTTTACATCGTCTCTAAAAATAGGCTATTCCCAAGCAAAACAAGACCAATATTCGTTATATCTGCGTAAGCTTCAAAAAGAGTTCGAGGAGAAATGGAACGAAACCCCTGAAACTACTACAAAATTAACAGACTTCGAGAAGAATAAGGTCTTGGGCACCGGAGCATTTGGAATTGTTTATCTAGCCAAACACATTTCAACCGGAAGATATTATGCCATGAAGATGCTCGAAAAAGAAAAGATAGTTAAGCTGAAACAAGTGGAGCATAGTTTTTATGAGAAGAAAATACTGTGCGGTCTGAACTTTCCTTTCGTAGTTTACATGAAATATTTTTTTAAAGACAATGTATATCTTTATTACGTTCTGCCTTTCATCGCCGGTGGTGAAATGTTCTCGCACTTGAGGAAGTTGGGAAAATTTGAGGAAACCGCCTCAAAGTTTTACGGGGCACAGGTTATTTTGGCACTTGAGTACCTACACGCCTGCGACTTGGTTTATCGCGATTTGAAACCGGAGAACATATTGATTGATAGGAACGGTTACATAAAAATTACTGATTTTGGCTTTTGCAAGCTGATACACGGCAGGACGTGGACTTTATGCGGCACACCAGAGTATTTAGCGCCAGAGATCATTTTGAGTAAAGGATACGGGAAGTCTGTAGACTGGTGGTCGACGGGAATTCTGCTTTTCGAGATGAGCGCCGGCTATCCACCGTTTTTCGCATCGGACCCAATGAGGATTTACGAAAAGATCGTGGCCGGAAAATACAAATGCCCAAGCCACTTTTCTAGTGAACTGAAAGATCTAATTTTGCATGTTCTCCAAGTGGACGTCACAAGACGCTATGGCAATCTTAAGAATGGAGTTTATGACTTAAAGAGTCATAAATGGTTTAGAGATATCGATTGGGGCTGCATTTTCAACATGCGTGTTCAACCACCGTTCATACCAAAAGTTAAGCATCCCGGTGATACCGCTAATTTTGAAATGTTTGAGGAGGAGAAAATTAAGGACAGTCCTGTTAATTTATATGAAGAAGAATTTGCCAACTTTTAAACTTAGGATCTTTTAGCACACTGGTTTAAGTTCCGTTTAAATATGAATTAAGGGGTAAAAGTGTTTTAAGTTTATAATTCTTATTCATAATTAAAAAAATAGTGTTTTCGTTTATTAAATATTATAACGCTAAAAAAAAATACAATGTCCTCGTATTTTAATGTTTCTTTCTCTACTAGAAAGTTTATTTTTATGTTTCCGTTATACAGGGTGATTTTATAGACGACGGACATATTAACAGAGCATATGCAGAATTTGATTCTTAATCTGAATCTGGTAGGTACTTGGGAACTAATTTTTTTTTTTTCAAAATTGTTTTTTAATTTTTTCAAACATTATGGACACCTTAAGAAATTCCTGACTTTCCGACTCAATACAATAACATATTGACGAGCACTTAAACTATTCGCTGAACGTATAATTACCAAACCGCTATCTATCAATAGGGTGTCCACTCTTAACGGGATAAACAAACAATGTTTGAATTGATATTTTATGGAATGCTCAATTAACATTATGTCAAAGTATGTTTTTCGTCTAAAAAATCAGAAAATCAGACTATATGTTGTACCCTTGCACAGGAACGGTTAATATTAACTTAAGATTTACCATTTTAATTAGAATAAATACAAGGTCTTTTAATTCAAAAGTCATTGCTATATGACAGTTCATAATTGACTTTTATTTACCGTATAATGAACGATTGAATATATGAGAGTATCTTTAATATTTCCAATATTTCTTAATAAATAGGTATTATATCCCCATGCCAAGACGTGGTCTCCATTTGAGAGCCCGTCTACTCCAAAGCTCATCGATTCTACTACAGATGTGGCTAGCCGACTGCCACTTCAGCTTGCTACATTATTAAATATATAGATGTATGTAGTAATACATCGAAATCCACACTTCATACACCCATTAATCTTCTTTCTTTTTTCTTTGTCGCGTGTCACTCGCAAAATTCCTTTATTTATAAATTATATCTTATCGTTCATTGCATTCATTCAGCCAGTTTTGAAATAGTTCTTGTAAGTTATAATATCTGCACATATTAATTGTAATGATTTAGCGGTGGTAGGGCCACGCAGCAGCCTCGGCTGTTGCACGAATGGGAAGGCCCGTCCGGGTAAGTACCACGACCTCACAGAAGACCAGCGTAAAGTGGAAGTATGACAAATACTTTCGCATTAAAATATGTAGAAAATTAAAATATGTAGAAATACTTTCGCGTTTCGTCTGATGAGTGAAGTAGTCGGAGCCCACTTTCCGAAAAGGTCGTCAACGCATCTGTAATCCTCGGGTGTAGCAGATGTCCATTGGCGGCGGTATTCACTTAACATCAGGTGACCCGTCTGCTCGTTTGGCAACTTTTCGGATAAAAAAAATGATCATCTGCGTTGGAATCGAACAAAACTCGAATCTAAATACTTAATAAAAGCGATATTGTGTCGATCGATACCGAGAATATTGTTAATTTATTTTCGCAAGCGCTGAAACTATTTTCAACCTTCCTGTGTTTTTTGTTAGTATAAATTACCTACATTCTAACGGCCTAACATTTATCACTTGTCCGAATTTAACAAACATCTATTTATCTAGTTCTCTGTCAGTGAAAAGTTAAAATTATCACTAGAACTGATCAGTTCATTATTCATCGCCATCGAGATTTCTACTATGGAGACTTATGAACGTTAAAGACAATGTGTTAGACAATTAAATATTTAAAAAACATTTAAGGAAGCTTTTTTTAAATATAAAAAATTATATATGAACTTGGTATCAAACTTTTTTTGAAGATAAAGTAACTAGCGACAAGATGCACAATGTTTAGCAATGCTAAACAAACTTATGCCCATGATCATCTACAACACCTATAGAGTGGCAGATGCGTTGGCAGTGGGTATTGCAGATCGAAATTCAATCTGAATTAATCGAAAAAATAGTGAGAACAAAGATATATGTGGTCTTATAATAAATAGTACCTGGCCGACTGATCTATTATATCATTTTCTTTTAGGTGAAATTTACCGTCATATTCGAATGACATTTTTCATTCCCTGAAAACAGGGAAAATGGTACATTTTCTATAAATGAAACCTAGCTAATATCTTATCCTTTAAACGAGCAATTCTTGTATATATATATATATATATATATATATATGGCTTACACATACACATGTATTTATATATATTTAGCTTCTATATATATATATATATATATATATATATATATATATATATAGATATATATATATATATATATATATATATATAGATATATATATATATATATATATATATATATATATAGATATATATATATAGATATATATAGATATATATACAAGAAATGCTCGTTTAAACGTATTACATGAAATACTATTTGAAAATGATATGGCGCTCACCAATCCGCCACCGGCAGTGTACAGCATCAGAGCGAAGAACAGTCCAATGTGGGAAAGGGCCGACCTGGGACAGAAGCGCTCCCACCTGGACGGCTTTGCCTGTCCACCCATCAACGCCTCCGTCTCCCATGTCACGCCCTTCACATTCTTGCACATGGCTCAAGCTAATCTCACCACTGCACCAAACTCGGACATCGTTAAGGCCTGTACAACACAGAAATCTTTACATAGACGCGTCTGCGTAGAATAGGCTGAAGGCGTAACATAGAGCGACAGAAAGACAGATATACATAAAATATGTATATAAATTATTGCCTATGTTTTATTCTTATGTGTAAGCTACATTATTGTATAGTTTCATTAAAATCCATTCAGTACTATTTGCGTGAAAGAGTAACAAACATCCATCCATACATACAAACTTTCGCGTTAGTAATACTAATAGTGAGGATTAGTAAGTAAGTAGGGATAAAAAAAAAGTTGCTCCCGATCTTTGTACGCTAAGATCTTTAAACTACGTAACGAATTTTAATGCGGTTTTCAGCAATAGGGTGATTCAAACGGAAGGTTTATACATATGTTTTACATGCATATTATAGTAGAGAAACGAAGAGAAATTAAATATCTATTTTGTATCTGTGCGAAGCCCGGACGGGTCGCTAGTATTCAATGTAAACGCTGTTCGCCAACATTCATTGACGAACCTTCAAAACAAGCGCTATTACATAGCTGAAATTTTTATAGACAAAGTTAGATTGAAACGTCTCTTAAATTCTAAAAGGTTGATGAAATTTCGTTTTTATGTTCAGCTATTTTAATACAATTTTATATATATTCTTTAAGATACTATTCTTTAAGAAGAATTTATCATGGCACATAAATACCAAAAAGTTTCAATTTAATCTCGTTTCTTCATTAAATAAAATACTTACAAAATGTTTATTAAAATTTAACATACAAACTTAGAACAAGTAAAAAAATACATCAAACCCACACAGTTTATTTCCTTATTTTTAACGTAGGAAAAATCCTTTATCGACCCCCACTGCTTTGTGGGTGGGCAGTGAGGTATGTGAGTCTCCGATATCTGAGTAACAACTAAAGAACGCTTTGTCGCTTTTGTCGGGGCTACGGGAACAAGTATACGCAATTCCCGGCATGACTGTGGCCTTGGCAGGCCTTCTCTCTCCGGGTGTTAGGACATCAGTCCCACCAGATGGTGCTGTGTCGGTGCAATTGACACGACACTCTTCTCCAGCCCTCTGCGGGGTAACAGTTATTTCCACATCTGACACCGGATCACGGCTAAAGGGGGAAAGGTTGCGCTCGTAGGCAATCCTTCTGCACCCTGTTCTATGGCAGCGGATTTCCAAGGTGACAGTTGCCTCCCTTTCTCTCTCCGCGGCTTCCTTCTGGGTGATTACGTCCTCACAAAATGCAAGTACGGCAGCCCACGACCTCTCGCGGTCCTACATAGCACCAACCACGCCGGGAAGCGATAGGTGTTGGGCCGTTTCCTCGGCACGTACGTCGCAGTGGTAGCATTCTGCTTTTGGCTCCCTTCCATCCATGCTCCAGAAGTGTCTCCCGAAAGAGATATGTCCCGATAGGACCTGCGTCGCTCAAGGGCGCCGTCAGTAGAGTCGTAAGGGTGCTGTGATGCCCGTTCAACCATCGACTGAGTATGGAACGTATGGCCTTCACGGTTCCTAGGCCGGCACTGGGATGCTCTAGCCTCTGCTGTCACTCAGCGTTTCCCTGAACTCCACCGCAGGCAGGGCACCGCGGACCATTGTCTGCTTGCGCCAGGAGTGTAATGACGTGAGGATACGAGCTTCTAGGTCCCAGGAAAGGGAGCCTGCCAGCACGCTTGCCGTCACGGTCCGGTAGCGTCCGGTTTGCGCAGAATCATTATGGTACGGCGATATAGGGTGTCAGTCCAGACCGGAGCGCCATACAGGTCCATGGATTCATAACCCCGGTGTAAAGGCCGACAATATGAGGCGTTGAGGCCACCAAGATTCCGGAGCCGCTCTCAACGCTTTTAGGGCAAGTCGCTTAAAGTGGGGAAAGAAATCCCATCGGCGATCCATTACTAGGCCGAGATATCTCATTGTCATCTTTACGTCGACACGGACGCCGTCTATTATGTGGGCGCAGGGGGCCCATCCCGAGACCCATAGAAGCAGGGGCCCTCGAATTTATTCAGTGCCGCTTCTAGTCCCTGTCGCCGCGTTAAGACCACTTTAAGCGCCACTCCCGCTGTGGCGAGAATAGCGGCCAGGGCGCGGAAAAATTGGCGCCACGGGCATTACACAAAACCTGCCCGAACTTTAAAATTCAGTATAAGATGGCTCATAGGCTTATTCAAAATAGGACGGCTGCAAGAATTTCAAGATAAATTTAAAGTACGTATTTTATTGTATTGTTTTCGTATAAAATTAGCAGCAGAGGTACTCAGTTTAATAAGTATTTAAACAGAGGGCATTAGGACATATACGCCACGCAACCCTTCTGTGAATTATCACATTTCACATATCATAGAAATGCAGAATTGCTCTGGATATATTCATCAAAAATCAACACTTAAAATTGCAACAATTTCATTGCTTTCGGTACCCCGATTTGAATTCGGGTTGCCCTATTTCAGGGGCCTTAAAAGCAAGCGCCAGAATACTGAATTCATTGGTTTCATTATTTTTTAACTTTTGAAATGATATTAGCTTATTTGGCGACGTAATTTATGAAATGCTTCAGACCTACTTACGAGTACATCAAACCTGCTTGCGGTCAAACATATTTTATAACTGACAACTGTCTGGTTCTTTAGTTTTTACTTTGACAGATGACGACTAATATATCTACACATTCATACAATAACAAGACATGACTTTTTTTAATATAGAACGATTGATATTTTAATGTTTTGTTTTACCTAACCTTCAAATATGTACAAAGAATATAAACTTTATTATGTAAACTTAAGGTTTATGCTTTGCTTTATGAAGCAACTTTAACGTATACTCTTAGCTAGTTACGATCAGCTTTATTTAGTTATTGCAACAAGCTGTTCGAAAGTATTATCTAACGATAGAGGTCAGTCAGACAGTCGGTTTTTTTTTTTCTTCACAGGAAACTTCTAATAAGTTGGCATGGTTGTAAAGCGTTGAAACTTTCTTTGTATTCTTACGTAATAATAAGGACAAAAGCGTTGCGAAAGCATTTAACTAATGGACTAGTTTTGTGGAACGAGTACAACCCGTGGCTAATTTGGGATTAAAGTAAAATTGAAACAAGAAGTTTCAGATTGAAAAACTATTTAACAATGTTAATAGTTACATAAAATTTAATCTATAATATTATGTTTTTGAAAACATTCACGGGGCTCAAAACTTGCTTTATTTGCTAAGTCAAATAACTACCCTATAAGAAGTTTATATTGTGCTAATTTAAGATATGATGTTTAGTTAACTGAACACGTTTATCATTACCAAAGGAAGTATATCAAAAACAAGCGGTATTTCCAATGAGACTGTTCAGATCACGTACACTTCGTACACTCATTAGATATTGTATTCGATCAATTGAATATCGAAATTATTTTGCCTCTACTATTTTATATTATCACCATACCGTGTTGCGTAATGAAGAATTATAAGGAGCGAAAGTTCGCACGCAAATTATTGTAATGATTAAGTGTCATGGTTAATTGACATACATATGTTGTAAAGCGTAATGGTCTCTTGCGGTATTATTGATCCTGAAATGGAAACTAGAATGATTTAACTCTGAAGAACCTTAAATATTCATTTTCGAGGTTTTAATCTTCTTATTCTATATATCCTGTTAAAGGAATAATCTTTAATTCTTCTTCACATTATTAGATAAACATCAAAAGCAAAGATGTAAACGTTCCATTTTTTTTATTTATAATTTATGTATACAGAGAAGTATGACAGAAATGTAAATACATAAAAGAATTTGTACAAAGGCCCTTTTTATGATTAGATACATTATTATTTGTATTTTCAAATTCTGCAAAATGTAAAACTATTCATGGAAGTAGTTGCATAAATAAAGTAGTAGTTACAAAAATAATAGTAGTGCTCATAAATAAAAATCCTTTTTTAAATTTTTCGAAAGATATTAACGGAAGAGAATAACATAATTGAAGCATTTAAGTACTATGTAATATAAAATAATTTTATGAATAGGCCCCAAAGAATTCTTCATAATATAACGATATCTAAAGAAAGGCTAAACAAAGGACATATTAATAATTTAACGTCTTTTGAATACTTTATCTGTATCTTAAGACTATTTATCGTTAAAATTTATGTGGTCTGCATTGGCGTAGTATTACATAAGGAATTGAAGGATAAAAGTAATAAGTTTATGCATGAAAGGAGCCTAACTAAAATTTCATTAATTTCAATATTAAACATTTATCTAAAAGCAAAACGATTGACGCTTAAAATAAAAACATTCCTATTGGGACCATGTTAACTTAATACGTACCCCAAATGTTAGATAATTATTCAGCGGTTCATTGGTTTATTTTTCACAGAACACGACTAGGAAGTTTTTGGTTGTTGCTATTTTTTTTTAATTCCGCACCATATGGGGGCACAGTCACGTGCTCGCCGTGCCGAAGTTTCGCCCGAATGATTCAGGGGCGGGCGATGCGGGAACACATCCTAACACGGCCGGCAAGCGCGAACGACTGAAAAATGAAAATTGTCCCACGCACCGGGAAGCGAAAGCGTTAAGCAGCCAAAATTACAAAGCCACACACAATATTATTACCCCTTTTTTAAGACTTTTCGTTATTATTTCATTTATTACCTAACCGCGGTACGATCAGCAGAAGATCACATAGTCATCGCTAAAACTTGAAGAATAATCTCTTATATGAATGGATTCTTTATTTTTGAGTCGCGAGTAAGTCGGTAAAAATACATTATTTTCTTCGTCAAAATTTCAACCTGACAATAGTAAATAATACTGAATCAGTCTTAAGAATATAATCCGCAGTATTCTTTTGTTCAAGACATGTTTTGATATTAAATTTTGTGGTCCGAAAGGTGTGCATCATTCCGTATTGTGAGCATCCTTTAAAATGTATTCATGCAAGTTATTTATAAATTTAAAGGCGC